AATAATAATAGAAATATTAAGACCTGACATATTTGGTTATTTATGATATATAGTGTTTAATGATTATAGACCTATTGGATTTTGGGTTCGATATAGATACTTAAAACCAGATTCATTTTTTGTGAGATTTGATTCTTGAACCATTTCTTAAAGATTATTGTATTTGTCATATTATGTGGAATATTTATGACGAGAATAAGAGAAATATATATTACATATATAGATATGTATTGAAAACACTGGGTTTTGTTCATAAATATATCGTTTGTAAAGTTGTTCATAATTTGAGGAATAAACTTATGGATATCGCATTAGATAGTTGTTCATAATTTGAGGAATAAACATAAGGATATTGCGTTGGATATCTTGAGTTTGGGTATTGGTATTTATATATGTAGAGTGAATATAAGTTTATTATTCCTGTATATAATACGTAATTTTCTTAATTAAGAGAATGATTTCATTAATGCTTAACACGCGATTATCTCATGGGCGAAATATAACTCATGTAAATTGATATATATCGAGCATATAGATTGATCTTGGAATATAAGACCATAAATCGCACTAGTAAATAATAATATTTCAAATGTCGATAATAGATATTAATATCCGGTAATTCCACACTTACTTGATTTAGGTATGCTTAGATGTTCGATTAACTGACGATCCGCATATGGAAATTTATAGTTCATAGAGACCGCGGTCGCTTTTTTTTGGTATATCTCGTGTAACTAGCTGTAAATCTATTTTTTCCGTTATATATGGAAAACTTCCCACTTACACACGTCTCTGCAATAAAGAACTAGCACAAATAAATCTTGAAAATGGCATAAGTAGAAAGAACTTATCGTTTCATATCAGAGTTGTTATCAGAAATAATAACTTCTGGGGGTTGTAATCACCGCGATCTCCGAGATTATCATGCCCCTTATCAACTTGCATAATCTATATACTATAAAAAGACACTGATTCACTTACGAAAAAAATTTTTATTTCTTCCCAACATTATCAAGCAGCGCATAAACCAGATTTTTTACGCCATATACCAATATAAAAAATGTCTTCACGCACTTCCTCACCTCCGCTTTCGCCTTCCTCACCTTCAAGCATATATTCCGACGAAGAAAAAATAACTCGTACGATGGGCGATGTTATTAAAGATTATGACACAGAGGAGCCTATCGAATATTTAGATAGGCAGAATCTGAAACTTAAGGATCACCATTATGCAATTCTTCGTAAACAAGAAATAACTGGTTTATCTTTTTTGGAATTAACGAAAGAGGATTTTATAAACTTTGGATTTAAAGGCGGCCCCGCCATTATACTGGCAAAATTTGTTGAAAATCTTAATGAAACAAGATTACGTAGTTTCTCGTCATATAAAACAGTAGAGGAGCTTAAGGAGGTATTTCGTAAATATAAAGTTAATGGGAATAATATTACAAATATAAAACAATTCAATCCAAGTAAGTTTTTTGTTAGAAATGGTTATAGGTGACTTATTTTTTCTTGAGTTTTTATCGATATGGACTAATGTTTCTCATTCCTATCTGGTAACTGCTCCACTATAGTTTTTGAAAAAATCGATGATAATGATGAGGCCCTCAAACAATGTGTCGCAGAAATTACATTACGTATCGCACAGATAAAATCAATGATAGATGCCAATGAGGCAACCCGGTGTACTTTTATTGAATCTATATTACACGCATCAATCGCCATTGCAAGAAGGGATACCAATAAAGAAATAGATATTGAGTATCAGTTGGAAATTTCCGGCGAAGAAGCAACAGGTCGAGTAGATTACGCAATTAGTGGAATGGAAGATCTCCTATGTATTACTGAAGGGAAACCACGAAATATAAAAATAGGATATCTTCAGGTATTACCGCTTTACGATAAACTTAATTCTTACCGGTTACACTAATAATGGTTTTATTTTCAGAATATAAAGCAACTTGAGAGCTCCTTCCACGAAAACAAAAAACGAACAGCAGATCAAGCATTTAATAATAATGGATATGATTTTCTTTACGGTATCGTTTCCACTGGTGCAGATTGGCATTTTATTATGTTCGCATCGGATGGGTTATATTGTACAAGTAAAACGGATTACCAAATAGATCTCTCAAAAAACGTACTAAAGGAGGGACAAGAAAGTTTGCGAGATAGTATAAAGCAAATTATTGGGATAATTGTTGGATTGTTGAAAGATAGGATAATGGCATGCGACGAACCTGAGAGTAAAAAGCGACGTGTGCATGAAAAGATTAGAAAATAGATATTAGAAAATTTTTTTGTAACTGTATTTTATCATGTATCCGTCATCTATGTACCTATATTTTATTTGTAGCAATAAAGTGAATATACGTGTATTTTTTCTGATTTTTTAAAATTTTTCCTGACCCGGGTCAGCCGATTCTAGCTAAGAAATATAATGTATCATATGCACGAATTCGTGAAATATGGGAATTCGCTATTGTGATAAATAATTAATATTTATTGTATTACGGTTAACTCTGTGTGACTGCCTTCGGCAATTCATATCCACGATCAAATTATTAACAGTTACGAAATACGGAATAAAAATAATGCTTAACTTACAAATGCAACATGGTACGAAATTTTCATGGTGGTTAATAAGCAAATTTTCATTTCACAAACCCGATATGGAAAAGATATAGCCACTGTGTGACTGCTTTCGGGAATTTATTTATACTATAAAATTTCAGAAAAACTGGACACGCGTGTCCAGGCGCAGTATTGTGGCGCAGTAAACACATAAATTATATACTGTAACCTTTTTTGATCTGTGTATGGATACAATTACACTAAATTGCTTTGTTCAAAGAAGCGACGAGACTTTTTCCATAGAAATTGATAGAAATAAGAATATTAATCAGCTCAAGGAAGCTATTAAGGAGAAAAAAAGGGCGGAGTTTCATAGCGTCGATTCAGAAAAGTTTAAAATATGGAAGGTTCAGATTCGCGAGAGTAGTGGAGGGCTCGATGATCTTATACTCCATGACGGCGATCAACTTCGCGAAGGAACAAGGAAGATTAGTAGTTACTTCACCGATGAACCACTCTGTGATCATATACACATTATTATCAAACCACCTCTACCGCCTTTTAAATTTAGCCTTATACGTAATATGGGGCTTTTGTCCGAAGGAGGTATTGTAGAATACCTAGACGAAGATTGTATTCATAAAGCGACATTACGGGAAGGTTGTCTTTATACAAAAGATGGTAAATATCATTCGTTTGCAGAATTTATACGAGCTACAAGGAAATTAAAACCAAAAGAAAAAGTTCGCCCCAACGATTTTCACAACCTAAAGATTAATGATATGACTTATTGGGAAGTTCGCGAAAAACTCTATAAATTGTATTTTGATCAAGATGAAGAAGAGAATGAAGGTAATCTTATATTGCTCATTCTTTTTAATCGAAATATACCTTAATTTTTGCCCTGTATTACTTTAAATAGAAATTGTTGATAGTACAGCCTCCGAAGGAAAACTCGAGGAACTTCCAAATACAATCGAAACAGTTCCATGGAATAAAGATCTCGAGAATCGCCTCTGCCAGCTGTACGTGAGGGATGATGTCGTGGACATATTTTGGGGCCGAAACATCCTCACTGGCGAAAAAACATGGAGTGTTTACGTAGTTACTCGCAATCTTAGCCGACGTGAATATGCAGAGGAGGTCACAGAAGGTCAAGTAATTCATTTTATACCAGAAGAAAAAGGGTTTCTCAATGCCGAGATTCCACCACAAAGCGCCCATGATCCTCTGCCAACTCAGAATAAGGTCCCACAAGATTTACAGAAGGCCTTTGATGAAGCTTTAAACAATGAACTGGGGCCATCATTCCGCGAAGCGAATTATAATCTGGTTGGTATGAGCACCGGGTATAAGCGAACTAAAGGTAAATTTACCAAAAAACCTGCTATCATACTGTATGTTCGCCAGAAAGGCATTCTACGCCGAGGATGTGGCGGCTTATTTCCAAGAGAGATTTGTGGGTATCCGGTAGATGTTATCGAGGCTTGTGTTGCAACTCCCTACGGTTTTGGTGCGAGGTATTGTCAATCTTATAAGGGTGGTGTTGAGTTGGGGTCGAGTATAGGACTAATAGAACCGCACAGAACCACTGGAACCCTCAGTGCTTTCGTGTATGATAAAAATTCAAAACAGATAGGTATTCTCTCATGTGAACATGTATGCAGGTTTAGTGGATCGAGATCTGGGACGGGTGCCATAATTCACCAGCCTTCACATGAAGACCTAGATGAACTGAAAACGTCATATATTGACATGGAAAGTAGAGGTGGAAAGTTCATCGAAATTGCAAAAACTATGTATACTGTAATCGATGAGGACAGAAAGAATTCAGCCCTAGCTTACTATGAACGTGGCATGCGAACCAACTTCCCCTCTAAAGTGCTTCAAAAGGACTTTGGAATTGATGCCGCATTTTGTATTACAAACAAAAATCGAAAGTTGTGTTCGAATAAATTTTCAGTTTCCCCAGAGTGCTTCGAAAAAGAAAAGCTTCCTGAAAACACCTGTCTAAATGGTTTTTATAAATATGAAGATTTTGATAACATTGATGAGATTGAAGTCTTTAAAGTAGGAAGGAAAACAGGTCTTTCTTGTGGAAAATTGGTTCCTATTAATTCTGCTATTTGCGTTGATCTCAGGGACCTTGATTTTACAAACGAAAGTATCGAATTCGCAAAAACGCAAGGCGAAATCCCACCACATACTACTATTACAGATAAAGAATACTTTGTTGGATACATGAAGGCACCGTTGTTTCAAAATCGTCAGAAATGTTATCCTACTGTGTGGTTCGATCGGCAGTTAATTTTTTTTTTCAGAGCTGGAGACTTCGAACCCGGAGACTCGGGAGCAAGTGTTGTGAATCAAAAAGGAAAAGCCCTTGGTATTCTTCATGCATCGTGGATGACGGGAAATTCTAGATACGCTATTGCTTCCCCTTACTTTGCAGTTTTTGAGGCATTGGATGTAGAACCTGTGGAAATATCAAGTTCGGCTAATTGATTTTGCCATACGCTGTTCTCCTTTTTATAGGTAAAAATCAATAAAGCTTTGTAATTACACGGATTTCCATTTTCCGGCTATAATTAAGACGGAAATGAAAAGTACAAGCAAAAAATTATCAGAAATATTGTTTTATTTTAGAATATATTGGTTGATACAGTGTGCGGTTATCTTTAATCACTCAATATTGTTAGCTACTTTAACAAAACTACATGTATTTATACATTAAGAATAGTTCGTAGTTGAAAAAAAATAATAAATTACCGAAATTATAATATTGTAAAATTTATACTATTTATATCAGACGTTGACTTCGCGCTCAATAGTTGAATGATATGCCTGCCTTGCTCACATGCCACGGGTAATGTATTCGAATTAAAAGATTTAAGTTTGGGCTATCAATTATAACAATTATAACAATACACTTCATGAGAAAAGTTTTTCTCGGCAATGGTCCTATCAAAGATTTCTAAGTGAGTTCAAGTTGCTAAGGCAATGTTTGTATATTGGATTCGACCAGATCCTGCAACCAGAAATAAATTTATTTTTTGCGAAAGTTCCAAATACACAATTAAATGAATCAACTTCTGGGTTTGCAAACTTAGTGACTATTCTTTCGTACAGATTTCCGAGAAATTTATTAGTGTCGCAGAAGGCAGGCAACATAAACTTTCAGCGGTTGTCTTTTTTTTCTCAGGTTCGAAAAAAGATAAATTAGTTAACGATAACGGATAACCAGTGACGACCAACTAATACTATTTTTATTCTATTCAGAAATGAAACCGGATTATAGTTAATATTGACCGTTGAGATAATATGTTAGTATAGATAGTTTAGACAAACGAAAAACTTACGATTTTTATTACAATCAATAAAGCAAAGGCAAATTAATGCGATTTTTACACGTCAATATTTTTTTCATGTGATTAAACTTTTGAATATAACTGTGTTTATGTAAAACAATGGAAAATCCACAATCCACAATCGATTCATTGAGAGAATTAAATTCTGATCTCGTTCACCAGATCACTGAACTTAGAAAGAAGTTTGCCGAAGTCGAGGCTGAGAATGTGAAACTAAGACAAGATAAGGAAGAGATTGAAGCCAGATTCATAAAACTGGAGCAGAGTGATAAAGAAAAGACCGACCTTATTGCTAAACTAGATAACGATATCAAAGGAATCAAACAGGATCAAATTGTTGCAATTTCACTGGAAGCAGAGTCAAAGAACAAGCTAGCAAATTCTGATTCATCCTCTGAATCACAAATAACTTCTCCATCTACCGAAGCCCACTCTGGTAAAGAAACTTCGATTCACTGTGAAACAAATGATTCTATAACTAGCATTACTCCTATAACTC